TCAAATCCTTTCGATTATAAAATCGTGCACGTAATTCGAGTTGAAGTACCATTGCATACGTTTCGTAGGTCTGGGACACGATTGACCCGATTTCACCGATCAAGGGTTAATCGAATCTTTCTGGACCTGATTTTTATTTTATTTGTCGTTATGGAACAATCATACTGTTAATCACCGATTAACATTGTACTTTTTGTGTTTACTGAAATGTAGTTTATGAAATGTTATTTAGAAATAATTTGAGAAATCATACTAATTATATCAAAGTTAGGTTAGGTAGTCTATGTATAAGTTTCTGTATTTAAAACTATGTTATTCATAGAACTATTCGTTATCTTGTAATGTTAGAGATATTTCATTAAAAATTATAAAACTCTATCTATGTATTAAAAGTCAATATATTCTTTATTCTAATGTGTCGCGTTCTGCCCAGACGAAATGAAACGAAAAGCAAGAAGCTGGCGTATGATCGAATGGCAATAACTTTTTAACGACTTCCATGGTTATTTGCTTTCGAATAACACGCAAAAGTTTCAAGTCACGCGGAAGAAAAACTACAAGGGCGAATGCAAATTAATTCTAACGTAACTCGAGCGTTCATTTCGCGGATTCGTTAAAATCACGCCTGCTTAAGTATAGCTTTCCTCTATTTTTCAGTGCTGTTTCGCCTTAGAGCACTTCGTGAATCGTTAACCTACATAATCACAATTCTATTGATGTTCGATTCGCGTAGGAAAGTATTGCATTAGGTGCATACAAGAATAATGGCGGTTTTATTACCATAAATTGGCAGGTTATGTTTATAATAATATTTTTGATGGCATATTAAAACTGTGGAGTAGTAATAGTTATAGTGCAATTGCAAACTGAAATTAATCTGGAGAAATATCGTTTCTCTTTGATTAGCTACTTCAGTTGATAATTCATAAATTATTTATATTCTTTTAAAACTTGATAACTAATGGACATTATAAATTGTTATGATATTCATACTTAATATACATACTTGTCATGTTTTCGACTATTGAAGTTTATGAAGCTTTAAATTTCTAAATTACAAAGTGCAGGAATTTGTGCAGTTGTAAATTTTTTAATTGAAAAATCTACTGATTTGAAAATTCCTACATTTTTATTTGAAAATATGAAATTTAAAGTTTCTGAATTTTTAAGTTTATTGTTTTCAAAATTAAAAAGTTCCCTTTGAAAATTTCAAAAGGTACCTTTTCTCCAGCATTCACCATTCACCGTAAATTGTAAAGTCGCGAAAAATGCCTGACCCATTAAGCACATTAAATAGCAGAAAAAGAAATATCTGAAAACAATTTTTACAGCCAGTGGTAGTACCAACTTAAGCCATTTATTTTACACATACGCAAAAATCCAACGAAAGAAGTATTTCTCACTCGATCAAATTAGATCAAATTAAATTTCTCTGTAACGACATCGCTTTCATAGCGAAAGGTTTCACACAATTACACCGCGAAGCCGTGGATAACGATCTAAGCTTGATTCTCGTAGCACCGAAGAAACACGCTCGTTAAAATTTGCCAAAGAATACTCGCACGTGGTTTTCGAAAATGGAGACCGCTCGCTGTTTCGCTCAACGCGCGGTTTTCCTATCCAATGAAAGAGCCGCATCTTTTTTCTCTTCAGAATAACGATAGAAGGGCTCACCTGGAACTACGTGAAAAGCAGCCTCGGCGAAAGAAACGAACGACCCATTCAAGCATGAGGTCTCTTTGAAAACTGACTATACCGTTCCTACGTCCAATGTCCACGCTTTGAAACGCGAATTTTCTGCACAAATTTTTGTGATATACGTGATTATTGATCTTTGGGGACTCGAACGAATATCTAAAGCCATTATCGGAAAATTCTTTTTTGTGCAATTTTAAAAGTGACTAATTTACCGATATTCTCTTTTAGAAATCACTTAATTTTTATTAATACAACTTTTCCATAAATTAATAAGAATAAATTGAAATATATAAATAAATTGAACTGTAGTTTTAGTACGAAGAGCTTTTTTAACTTTTGAACAAGTGATCTTTAATTGAAAAATTGATTACCATGTTTTGATTGTTCCAAAGGTTTTTCTTGTTTACAAAATCGTGTCGGAATACCCTATGAATTCCTGGAGCACTTTATTCCGCCCAACTTTTGAATGGAACAGTTCCAAGTCTCACATTTGTCACTCAATGCTGGCTTCCAAGCAAGTTCGGAGTTATAGATTGGGAAACAGATGCTAGGATTTTATTTTTATCCTAGCAAACATCGGGCAATATGAAACTTTAGTTTCGTGTAGAAATATCGGAAGAAATTTGTTAAATTAAAGTTGGTATGCATATATTCAAAATTGACTCATTCTACATACAAAAAATTTTCTTTTGCTACATATTTAACAACATTAACAACTTTTCCTTATTATCATGTAACTATCATGTAACTTCATATTTAAATACGAAAGCAATTCCCAATTTCTTAACATAATAACAATAAGCTTGAAGTTCCATAACAAAACCAAATTTAAACGTTTATATTAAATTGTCATTTCTCTTTTGTGACAACAGCAACTTCGGGGCTATATCATATATTATAATATACACAGAAACAGTTTTCAATTTTGTTCATTGCATTATAATATTAAATCTGACGGCAGTCATCAGTGACCCCCATATCAGGCGACGTGTTAAACGGCACGTTCTTTTCGTGCTGCTTAACCGAGCGAATTGTTTCGGAAACGACCCAACCAGTCAGAAAATGAGAAAAGGAAAAGCTTGACGTTGGTCGTTTTATTTCGCGTTTCGGGGTAGCAAAAATCTCGTGGCAGATTGAAAGGTTTGCTCCTTCGTAGCCGAGAAATGAAATGCACCGAGTGTACGGCTGGATCATTCCCAAGTTGGATCAATTGTTGTAAGACTACGATGGCGGTCCACCAGCCAAATCTTTTTCAGCCGTGTCTGTATTCTTCCAGCGAAATCGATTCGTAAGAGAATTTTCCGATACGCTGCTTGCTCCATTAGTTGATTCGTGATTTCTCATTCCTCTGGCCACAAATTGGACGACGATCTTCGTGTCTGGTTTAAACAGAAAAATCATGAGGCCTCGTGTAACGAATGAGAAAATAAATCCGAAGACTAATTTGCTCGGTGTATCGGAGGTTAATTAATAATTAAGAGTTATCAAATTTAAAATTTGTTTCATTGAAATAACATACGATTAACAAAATGAAAATAAAAATATCGAATGTTTTAGGAATTCAAAGTCCGCTAAAAAAATAAGGATAATGTATTACTGTTGAATTTCCTTTATTTTAGGAAGTTTTAAAAGTTCGTTAGTTCCGTTACCGAATAACTGGCAGAATTCCGTTAACACAATTTTGTGGGACTTTGTAGCGTTAAACTTTTAACTGGGAACATATTTATCTCCCGTACTTTGAAAGTTGCATGCGAAAAAGTGAGAGTGTCCACACGACTTTGAAGTTAATTTTCACGGGCTTATCGCGATTCAGCATGCCATGGTGAAAAGGTTAAATTGTTCAGGACACAATTTGAACGATCTTAAAATATTTCACGAAAGAAGAAACTATAACGTTTCGAGATCTAATATTAATATCGTAAGAAGGTGTAAAGTCGTTAGATGTTCACCTTTCGTGACCAGAAAGCCGCAGTGTATTTCATGCTTTTATCTGTAATCTGTTTGGAGTAATTACGATGAAGGTTGGCATATTACGAGAAGTAATTTGCAAAAAGTGCATTGCATGCGGTAATACACGTGGAAGATAGAGAATAATCCCTGTGTATGCTCGTATCTCATGAACATCACGAAATCAGCTTTTCTTTTGATATTCCTCTATTATACGATATTTCGTTCCACATTATACATTAGCGGTAACTCCTCGTTAATTACTTTCATGCACCTGTGGCGGTTCTAAAAAAAGAAGGCGTGCACAGCAAAATCTGATGACTGCATATTTCTTCAGAGACGGAAAGAAAACAAATTGTGTTTTATGATCAATCTGATAAATAATTTACGTGTAGTTACTTAATTTAGTTCTTTGTTGAACACTTTGTCACGAGAAATTGCAGAAAAAAGAAAAATGCAGGGTATGATTAGAATTATGGTTGACTATTGTTATATTGTCATGGACGAAGCTATTTCTGGAGAAAATGTTTGTGGCTGACATATTGAGTTAGTCAAGAACTTACGACTTTTATGAAGTTGTATATTCGATAATAAAAGAAGAGAAGAAAGACAATAGTACGTGTAACGATAGTTATACAAAGAGTCTATAAATTAGTCCATAAATTGCAATGTCAATTTAAAGATAATTTTTTGACAAAAATATTTTCATTGTAATATCTTAAAATCTTTAACCAACACGTTGAGGGTATTTTAAAAATATTTTCTACTAAGTCCTCCAAGATTACGATATAATTTATGCCGCCCTTTTCTTGTCTTTACACAACATTTGTCAAATATCAAGAAGCATTCTTCGCAAGAGGCGCTCGTTTGACAGACTCAGCCACTTTCATCCACAGACCATGTTTTATTCATTACAACATGATTGATAACCTAAGCTCGAAGACGTTGATCCTAGAAGGGCTTATTGTTAGCTTAGCTCCTTGCAATGCTGTTATTCTTTAATGGGGAAAATCCTAATCTCAAATTGTAATCTGAGGATCAGTCAAGGGCAAAATTGACAAATAATTTACTTATTTAACAAGTGGATCCTTTTAATGAAGAGATTGAAATCGCAATACATCTTTGATAAATAGATTTGTATGATCTTTATTTTCGTTCAAGCGAAAGTTTTGTTCTTCGAATGCAACGAATGTTCATCGTAACTGAGCGCGATCGGTTAAGGTGACCTTATTGCACAATGAGAGTCACAGCTAAAATTAATATTGCAAACTAGTGGATTGCAACATTAATGTGAATGCATTCGTTTACGGAGGGATTTGGTTTATGTGATACGATTTCTTTGTATTTTGTTTCAGTGGAAGAAGGTGATGGCCCGTACCACGCGCTCGCGACGAAAAATGGCGAATACGACTGATGCCCCCTCGCCTGCGAGCAGCCTTTTGTCGTCCACAACGACGACCCCGTTCACCAGCCCGACATCGACAACCTACTCCACCGAGGGCTATACCTTCAATTACAGCGGCTTGTCCAGTCTAGGTGGCTACTCGTTGGAGGACTTGAATTACACGGAACTATGGGTGGACGTATGGAACAGCACCGAGGCTAGTAACGTGACCGAGAGGTTAAATGCCACTGTACTGTCATCAGGAGGAGGCTACTGCGATGAATGGGAGGCGGCACAGCATAAACTCTTTCAGGTGAGCTTTACATCGAATTCTAGATACACCTATATAAAACAGTTGTTCAAGAATAGCTACAATAGTTACGGTGTATACCGTTTATGCTACTAATAGGATTAGCAGTATCACGAGCTATAGAATAGAAAATAATGTGCTAAGTCGATATGAATGGTTTAGTCGATAGGATTGTGTTTATTAGGTATAACAAGTAGAGGTATTACGTATAACCATTGTTACATCGTTACGTAGTACGTTACGTGTTTTGGATTTTATAGCTTAATTGAAACAATGTAGAGTAGCATACGTGAGGTCAGGTAAAAATAATTATGCGGAGAGTGGAAACCATTGTTCAACGTCGTTAATAAATACACACTTCTATAACTCTTCCTTCTTGTAATATAAAGTGTAGTCTCGCTACATAATTCTGAATGGCATACGAAGAGAACACTCTCCAAAATTATATAAAATTTCCTAACCTTACCAAATAAATTTTCCTCAGCTAAATTCTCAAATTACAAAATTTCCGGATTCCAAAATTTCACATTCTTGAACATGAGAGTCTGCAAAACCGTAGAATCTGAACCTTTGAATATTCCAAACTTATTAAGTATTCTGAACGTACAAGAAAATTTGTGACCTTCAAAATCAGACTCGCACCGAATACCGACAGCGACGATTTGCGAAAGATAGCTGGTTCATGAAACAGAGCCATGTAGCGAGACTGCAGCGTAAATTCAAATTTTCTGTTCGTGGAAAGGAACGATGTCCCTGAAGGCAAATTCTCACGAGGGAATTGTTTCGATTTGCCTTTTATCAGGCGGCGAATCTGTTCTTCGCGGCGGCGTTCCTAGTGCCACGTTCTTTCAAAGCCTCGGTTCTGGCTCTTCGCACGTTTCTCACGGCCGGCTTCATGTTGGCCGCCCTATGGGCTGGCATCACCATATGTGCACTGGACGCCATGCTATGGTGCCTGGCCCTTGGCCTTCTGAACGGTATTCACTCGCTCATACTCGCCTGTCGATTTCTACCGCCTGCTCTCAGCCCGGAGCTGGCTGAGCTCTATCTGAAACTCTTCAAGCCCTACAAGGTCAGCAAGAAGCACTTCCAGGAACTGGCCAAGGAGGCGAGGATATTGAAGCTGGATTCTGGTCAGACGTACGCGACGGAAGGCGTCACGCCCGCCGACGAACGATTATCGATACTCTTGCGTGGCAAGTGAGTATTACGCGGTTCCGTTCCCCCTCGGTAATAAATGTGGAATCGATAGAAGAACGCGCTCGAAAACAGCTTTCGTAGTCAATTTTTTCTTGCAACATATTTTCCGCCTTTCTCGTGCTTTATGAAATATTTAGAAACCGGAGCGAAAACATTTATTTTAGATTTATGAGAGTGTAGATACTGCGGCTGGATTTTTAGAATCAAATTCCATTGGGCCGATTTTTGTCACGGTTTCAATAGCATGTGCACTCGTCCATTCGGTTTAATACAACAGCGAGTTTTTACTAATTTTATCGTGCTATGTAAAAAATTGAATATTAATTCGGAAAATTTTAGTTGAACTTTGAAGCACCTTCGACTTGAATGCTCTAGTTATTTTATTGCACCAAGTGTTCCGGGCAACTGGGTCAACCTATAACTCTAAAACAGTAGAAAATAGAACAAAAGATTCGTTAAGCAAAATTAGTCGTTAATGTGCATGGTAATTATTTTGTCACTTAGAAACTATGGCAGGAAAATAAAAACTGCAGTATTGTTACATCTGTTACTTTATTTAAGAAGTTGTAAATTAGAATTTCTAGAAAGTGAAATTTACTGTGTGTGTATGATGTGTGTGATATGATACTGTTTTGTTTTATATTTTTGTTTTATATACTCTATTTTGCTTTTAACTTAACAGAAAACAGTAGTTTAGTATGCACGGATTAAATATAATTATGAATGTTATTAATACATGTTCAATAGAATGATTGATCAAACCATAATCGAACCGTAGAATAATTAATCGAACAGCTTTATTCAATATTTGTTCGTCCAATCTATTCCAGGAACATCACTGAATTGATCAGTTTTTTAAATATCTTTTCTTTGATTGCATCGAATTTCAATTTAACGTGTTCATAAAAAAACTCTATCAATTCCGTGAGCTCTTGAAAATCTATTCAAAGATCGATTGAATTACGTTGTGCAGCAACGGTGAAAGCTCGATCTCCTAGCTCGTTTTAGAACGATCGAACACCGGCAAATTTACGCAAAGCTATTCGACATCGATGCTTTAGACCAAGTTCAACTTCCTTGCTCGCGTTTCGTCGGATATCGCGCGTATCCTGTTTACATTTCCGCACGAAAACCGCGAGTGCAAACATGCTTCGCTTCTGTTAGCTTGATGTAACGCACGAATACATTAAAATCGTCGAGAATCTTGGCATCGACATAATTTCGCTAACATTTAGTACGATATTGCATAACGACACAAGATACTTTTCGGAAGGTTTGTATTGGAACACTTATTTACAAACTCAAGGCTCATTTTATAAGGGTAGTATTATATTTCTATAAGCATAGTTTTTACATTTCATCAAATGCACGAGAAGTGTATTGTTAAATTATCATTTTAACCCTTTGTGCTCCTTTTACCTACCAAATCAAGAAGCAGGTTCTCGATAAAATGTATTGCAACAGCACAGAGTATGTGGCAAATATACTTTTCGTTTACCATAAACAGATAAAATATATATGTACATATATTCAGACAATGTATTCACCGGAATTATTTATAAGATCCAAGAGAAATGTAATGTCAAGCCTCGCAGGAGTGCAAAGGTTAAATTGATGAGCAAAAATAAATCTGTGTTGAGAGTCACTGGGTCTGCAATAAAGAAAAGCCTTAACTCTCCAAAATCAATGGACCTTTTATACCTAAAGGTCAATTGTGCAAATACATCGTAGACCCAGAACGTTACTTTTCCTCAGTGCGTTAGTTTTTTCATGCGTTTTAGAAAAGTCTTTCACACCTAGTTTGATCCTTGAACCGTGCAAAATTCGTGCAGACTCCCTCCAAGATAAATTCAATCGCTTTGAAGATATTAAGTTTCTACTTAATTTTAAATAAATAACCACCCCGTATGTTTCATACACGAGTCTTTAGTGTATGTAACCTAGCGTGTATAAAGTAACTGATTCGACGATTCGTTGTGTGGAGTCCAGGCTGAAGGTGACATGCGACGGGACGCATTTGCACCACATCAAAGCTTATCAGTTCGTCGACTCGCCTGAATGGGAGGCCACGCACGAGAACATCGACGACGTCTTCCAGGTGACGATCCGCGCCGAGGAGTCGAGCACGTACATCTGTTGGACGAGGCTGAAGTTGCTCAGGGTACTCAGGCATAGGCCGCTACTGAAGGTCGTCCTCAACACCCTCATCGGTAAGGACATTACGTCCAAGTTGTACGCCCTTAACGAGCAGCTCGCTGGTGTCGCCGCGGCCAGTGAGACAACCACGTCGAATCCTTACAGGGGCGTCGCGAGAAGTCTTAGCGTCGACGCTGTAAACACTGAAACTGCCGGAAGAGTACGCTCAACGACGTGGAAGGCACAAAGGAGGCATAGTAACCCGCGCAGCGACAGTAAGTTTCATTGTACCTTTGATGATCGTCGGAACAATCGTTAGGCTGCCCTCTTAAAGCCGCGTCTGAGAGCAAAGGCTGTTAACTATCAAACCGAGTCAATTTGTTCTCTTGGGAAGCATGACTGAACTCAAAGCATTTGAACGTGGAATAGAGCTAGTTTCCTTCTTTCTGGGTAAATTGATGTCAGGTACTCTGAGCAAATCAAATTTTCTTAGAAACAAGGCAAGGAGGATGAGGAACCGTTCATTGATTATCAGAGATTTTTGAATATTTGAAAATTCAAGAATGGATTAAGAATTTTGGGGTAAATGGGGACCTTGCGATTTGAGGATTTGTTGAGGGTCTGCAGATGGAGGAACCTAGGGATTTGACACAGAAATTTTGTTATAGGTATCTGATAATTTGGGAATATTAGGGCCTAAGAACTTGAAGATCAGGTTTTGATCTCAGACGCGACAGTATTTTATGTGTACATAATATAATAATTTTTGAGTCCTTACTAAATTTCATTAGCACAGTCTAATTACAGTAATGTTTAAATCAGTTACCAAATTAATAAAATGAATGCAGTGTACGTAAATAATTAACGGTAGCTAACGCAGCGAAAACTTTCCGGAATTCAGCACATGACCATTAATATTACTAATTAATTAACTGACTAATACGATTAAAAGTAATCCGAGCAATAGCTTCGTAATAACGCAAATTCGTATCGACCGTACAGAATGAGAGCTCAACTTCCATAAAAACGATCGCAAACATAAAATTTCCCAGAAGAAATTTCCAACCGGTCTACGTTTGTTCTTTCGAAGCAACTACCCTAATTCAAACTTCATTTCCCAAAGTAGAAATACTCGTAATCATACTTATCAGTTTCTCAAGAAAGCTCGGTGTTTTCTTTCCTTTTTAAAGTAAAAATTATCGACTTTCCAATACGATCCCAAGATAATCAAACTTTTTCTCGATATCAAACTAATAATACACGAGTACACCTTTTTACAGCCTTGACAATTTGACGACCGGACGTTTTATAGCATCTTATTATTTTATATCTTTGTTAGGTTAGGTTAGTACTAACAGCTATACGTTTGCAATATACATAGTTCAATTTCGAACATTCATGATAGGTTTGGATTAGTTCGAATTGACTTTAGATTAGGTTTCGGTAGAATTCGGTCTACGCTCACTCATTTACTTCGATTAATTGAAGTAGACCAACTCTGATAACCTTTCGAAACGAAACTATTATCACGGAATAATTGAAATTAAATACAAACTCATCTACTTCGATTCTACCGCTCTTAAAAATCTAAACGTCTGATTTCTCGTCATAAATATCCTAATACTTTCACATAAACGAGCTGCATCCAACAAATGTATCATTCCATTAAAATGTACAATTCCATTAAAAAAACATGTTCACATTTCCTCTACCTCTTCGTATTTCATCCTAGAAGAAAGTAGTCTCCAGCAGAAAATTTTTTCCCGAAATCACATAACTCAATTTTCTAAGATTTGCGAGTGGGATTTAAATGGAACATGCTGTGAACAGTTCAGCTAACCACTCGAACGGTAAAACGATCCTCGGCGAAACACGAAGCGAAGTGGATCGATATCGAATAGCAATTAGGCGAGATTGATCCAGGGTCAAAATGTACTGTCCGCAGGGAGTTCACCGTCACGGTACTCGCACCAGTACTGGGCGCCCGTGGTGGCAAATCATTTCCCGCCGACTTCGCCGTTCACCCAGGGTCAGAACCTCGGGTATTCGTTACTGCCTCAGGGTGTTCAGTTTTCACCACCACCACGTGCACCCCTCCTGTCGCATCAGCCGTTGACACGGCAGCGTAGCGGCGATTACACCCTGCTACCTCAGACACCGAAGCTCGAGAGGAAACGCTCGAAAAAGGGGACAAGGGAGGTGAGTACCATCCTCTCGCGTTCAACTGTGCCGCTTTTATTCCCTAAATGAAACGCTCGAGAGACAGACGAGACAATTACGTGAAGCTTGTTGCATGAAACGATCATAGAGTTTAATTTTCAACTTCGTTTTTGGCGGAACTCACGCGAACATAAACGAGGACCACCTTCTGCACCTTTGGTGAAATTTTATCGAATGCATATATCGGTTATTGAAATTAGTTTCGAATCTGAAATTCAAATACTTATTGGCGGATCTGTGATATACATATTCGGTGCGTTTAATTGAAATTTGGAAGGAAGATATCTCTTTTTGACGTTTAATCAACGAATTCGCTGGTTAACGATGTTCGAATGTCGGTGCAGATGAAACTTATGCATTTGTATTTTTGCCAGTTACAACAATTCGCGAAAACCAAGTTTTGGAGTGGGTTGAACCAATGAGATTTATTAATGGAACATCAAGTTTGATGAAATGTCTTTCATTTACAAACATAGAAATTTGATATTTGGTTAAGGATTCAAAGTTGAACATTTGGAATTTCCGACTTAAAGAATTTAAAATGATGATTCGAAAATGTATAAATTTGTGAAGTAGAGAATTTCAGAATCTATGAGAGAGTTTTTAGAAGAAGAATGATAAAGAAAAAATTTGAAAGAAAGAATGTCACAACTACTGTCGTGACCTCGACACGTGACAAACTTTAGTTGTTTAAAGTTTCAAGTTTATTTGGCTCTAGTCCCGACTGGTTTAGATAGTAAAGCAAGTAAATTTCTTATGAATTCACTGACATCTTTCCCGTAACTCACAGTACTATACGTCTGTTGCGAGAAAAATTCCTTAAATATTTAATGGGACAGCATTGGATGTCACATGCTCGCGTTCGCAGAAGTTAGAACTTATATTTCTTGTTCACGAATAATTTGACGTTGACAATTTAGGAAAAATGTTCTTATCGATCGCTGAAACTTTTACAAAATTAATCTTTGAATAATGTATGAATACAAAATTATTTTCAATCCGTTTCAAATTAAATCACAAAAATTTTATTTCGAAAATAAAATGGTGTAGTCAGGAATCACCTTAAAAATAATTAATTTGTTAAACAATTATGTTGCAAAATAACTTTCTGTTTGAAACTATCAGAAATAACGCTCGGTTTAAAACTTTCCATGCCGTGTATTTTTTACTTTCTCTGAAAATCGTCTAAAATTTTCAAGAGCCTCTACCGGAACACCCGGAAAATAATTTATATTCCGTCCACTAGCCACTTCTCGATTATTCAAAAGTTTCTGTACGATGCCGTTTGACACTTAAAACTTTCTAGGGCAGTCGTTCATTATTTCCCATTTTCCTATAAAAGATTTAACAAACTCGGAGATACCGGTTTCACAAAAAAGAAAGAGAAGGAAAAGGAAAAACTTTGACGACACGGTTATTCAATAGCTCGTGCGGCTTTCAAACGTATCTGGGGCTTTTGTTTACCTCGTTCTCGCAGATTGTCGTACAGAGATTTTCATCCGTTTCTTTTCCTTCTGTTCGTCGATGATTAAGTATCCCCAAAGCGAGCATGCTCTTTCTTTTGCGGGAGTCCGTGCAAAACGAACGGTTCGAAGCCAAGAACAAGCTGCGTCCACGTTGAAACCAGCTCGAGACATAAATCGCGACAAGAGGAAAAAGCACGGCGAATATATCGCTGCAGAAAAACTCAATTACCGCGCGTACTCGAGCCAGAAAAGTGAACCGATATTGAGTTAGCGTCGGTTCGCTTCACCATCCTCGCCGGATGGTTTTATTCTTGAGCCTCACGCAAAAAGAAGATAACGAAGTGAACGAACACAGAGAAAGGGGGATGCGAACTGTTGTCCACTTGTGAATGAAGCAGCTGTCGCGAGAAAAGCTAGGAAAGAGACTCTTCAAGTTACGAGTGTCAGAAAACTAACTTCTTACTAGCTGACAAATGGCACCACGTTAGATACCTTCCTCTCTTCTATCTTCTTTTCACTGCTTCTTGAACGTTCTATTAATCGACCGTTGTAATGGCGAATTCAGTTTCGAAGTTAATGAAAATGCCATTCCAGAGGAAATAAAACGTAAAGGACGTTCATATTTTTCTTGAAAAGGAAAATGGCTTCTTCAGTCAATTATCACGTCCGTTGTCTACGTCAGCTATAGTTTAGTTGAAATACATTCATAGTTGAATTTATAATTGGACATATAGTTGACATGTACTTGAAGTATAGGAAGTTCAATTTATTTCATAAAATAAGACTTAGTAGTATACCTAGAGGCATTTAAAACCGACCATCTTGACTGCTATTGCTGATAGTCCCTCACCCTGTATATTGTGAAAACAACTAAAAAAGTTAAAATTAGGTACATCTGCATTGGGTAGATTATATTCAAAATTCGATTACAACGAAAGAGTCTGTTTATCACATTGGGACTATAGTGTGTGTGATATGTAAGGCAAGAGTTAATTGAGTATGAAGACACAAGTTAACAGCTGTATTAACTGGAATATTATTAAGTGATCTTAGGGTTAACGAGTCGATTTATAATTGTTGCAGGTGACATTTGAAACACCAGTATGACGGTCGCTTGACGGGGAAGGCCCTGCTAGCGTGCCCCTACTCTCTCTATCGCCGCAGCGTTCCGCCTAGCCCCGTCGTGAATTGATGAAATTAAAGCAGCTTCCAAGATTCGTGCTGTGAATCCCGTCGCCGCGTGGTCCGGCTCCTAATCACACGGCCTATCATCCCATCGGAGAGTGTCGTGCCCGCGTGGTCGCGTGACACCAGGACAAACACGGACGACAATCGAAAACACTCGGGCACGAGTGTCAGTGGTCTGCGAGAAGCTCGACACGATCGTGAAAAAAAAAATTAGCACCGTGTCGAACGCTCGTATTCGAATGAATAACGCGCGACGAATCAAGACCATCTTTCATATCCCGCAAGTGCTACGCCTTACGAACACGTTATACCACACGCAGAGCCACGTAACACGTGCACGTACCTAAAAATTAACCAGAGCCGTGTGTTCGCGATCGATCGTAGTGAATGGAGGGTGTATGGTGTCCCCGAGTCGTGTGTCCTGGTACACGTATGCTCTTCATCTTCTTCCTCTTTGTTTCTTCGAGAACGGCGGAGCGAAGATTCGTTAAGGAGTTTCAGACAACTACTTTTCAAAGTCTGAGGAAGAAAGGGAAGGGTAAACTGGAACGAAGTCTCTTGGCCGGCTGATGAAAGTCGAAGGAAGTCGAAGAAGGAAAACTGTTCGTAACTGGAATTAAAAGCTTCAGCGTTGGAACGAGGAACATCCGGTCGTGCCTGAACAAGACAGACAGCGAAAGAATAAAATAAAGGGGAAGAACGGAGAGGGTTGTTTTATATGCACATTCAGAAAAGTCGACGAAATGGCTCTTCCGTAATCGTTCAATCATCTTTTTCTCCTGTTCGATCGTCGCGACTCGAGTTGTCCAAAATCCTTCTCCTTTAATTGCACTTGTGAATTCGTTCTCACGTTTGCTAGTGATTTTCGATTAAGGTCGAAGCTGTGTCAGAACGACAGGCAAAACATGTTCTAATTTTTTAAACGGTGAATCAAGTGCATACTCTTAAGGAATGATTTAAACTGTCTTTTAAATTCTTATTTTATTCGATAATCGTTGTGTGCAGTTTCTCTAAAGAAAATGGCGTGAAAAAGACTCATCACTTGGGTTTTTATTACTGATATCTTTTAATTATACTAAAATTGTCGTTTTTATATTTCCCTGCGCTGGGGGCTCTATGAGGCAAGAATTTACAAATGGTTAACATTACACGTGTCTTCCCAAACTTATAATAGGAGTTCACTAAAAAAGTGAATAATATGTATAAGTAAGAAAGGCCCTCTACGGAAGATTTATCTGAAAAATATCGAAATTTTACTACGTAATGTGTAATAATTTAGCGTATTAAACAATGAATTTTACATCGCCATTTTCCTTAGAAAAGTTTACCTGCACCTTCGTAAATTGACTGTGATTTTAACGGATATAATTATTAAACCTTTCAAAAGGAACGCTGGACAAACGATGCAAAAAGTGACCTAACGTAAAGAATATTCTGAACAGCCTCGAGGTCGGGAAATTCAAACGAAAAGTTCATTGAATTAATCGTAAATCGACGAGTTTAAAATACAGGCAAAGAATTGTAGTATTACAGATGTCCCCAAATTATTGCAACGTCGATCAAGAATTCATAACAAACATGACTCGTTCTCAATCAAATAATCGATACATTAAAATTATTACAATTCACTTCGTGCAGAAAAATTTCACTTGCTTAATAAATAACACGAGTAAAGATATTAATTCGCTGAATCGTATCGTAAATCACGTCATCCGCTGACCTTAATATCGAATAATGATTAATCATTGTCTTCCATTTGTCCTTCTATTCTCCGACTTAAGTTTCTGAATCCTTTCGCCCTCTATTTATTCCGAGTATCATAAATCAACGCATTTTTGAATTTATAAATTCTTGAATTAATTTTCTTGTAAGGTCTTTGATGTTCCATTTTTTTCGAATAATTCATTTTGGTAAACAGTATTGTTCATTTTTTCTGCAAAATAAATTTAGCGTGTCACGCTGCGAGATGAACGATTGCATTTCAAACGCGAGTCATTTAGTTTCCCAGCTAAAAGAGGAAGCGATTAATTTCCTTCGAGCGATCTCGACAATTCGTGCTAGCAGAAATTGGTGTGTCAACATCTGAGCTTTGATATCGATCTCGAGGACTGCTGCCAAAGAGTATGGGTAATTAAAAACAGAAAATACGGTTTGTAACGTAGATATTCAAATTATTGTGGAGTATCAAATGCTTTCGATGACTAGTCTCAGATTGATGACATGAAAGTATCGCAAAATGCTACTGACTGTCAATTTAAAAATCAGATTGATATGGTTAAAACTATTTAATGAATTGAATTTGGAAAATTTTGTCAAATATTTGGAAAATTTCATAATGTTTAGTGGAAGTCGGAAAAGTTTAGAAAGTTGAAAATTTGTAAGTTTATGAATTTTGAATACATGAAAATTGAAAATGAACAAACATGAAGATGTGGATATTTACGAAAAATAGGCAATAAGAGAGTTTTGAGATTTGGAATATTTGAGATGTTTGAGAAATTTTTATTATCTGTGAACTGGAAACAAATTTGTATTAAAAATTAGACATTTTGATCAAAGTATAAGCTTCAAGTTGATATAATAAATGTCATCTTGTGATACGTTTATGTCGTCAAATTAGGTCATTAATGTTTCAAAATCTGCCACATGCAGTGTTCAAAATTTGCACTTAAAAACAGCGAAAAACCGATCATGGTCACGAAACAGTATGGTAGGAAACAACAGTAACACACGAACAAACAGGAGAAACAAATTGAACGAAAAGAAGACACGCGATGAGGGGACAGAGAAACGAGCGTAATCTCCAGACGTAAACGCAATAAGTGCTTCGTTAAAATGAGAAAAAAAACCTGCAATAAAGTGCTTCGAAAATTTCCAAAAAAAATAAAAATGAAAAAAGTAAATAAATAAAAAACGCGTAAAATAATTGTAGTTGAATTATCGAGAGGGTTAAACAGAGCAGAGAGTTATCGTTTTAAGGCGAACATTACGATTAACCAATTAAACTAAAATTGCGTCGCGAGATACGAATAGAAACCACGTAGTGACGAAAAACAAAAAAGATAAAGAAAACAATGTGTGTTTGTATGTTTCTATGTTTATATAATCCCCGCGTGTGAGAGCGTGGCCGTAGAAGATCTATAAGACGCACAAACGATTCGAAACGACAAAAGGAGAGGTCTGTGGAGAAACTAGGGGAAACCGTGACACGATGGCGGAGGATCCGATGACACACGTGTGTTTGACGTAACGGCGATCAGGTGTTATACCGTTTGTTACGAAACGCGTTTCGTTTTCGTTTAATGAAGCTCGCTACGCGTGTGATTTGTTGATCTTGCGCTACGTTCGTCGGAAAATAGATTTTCACGGCTACGTGAAACGATGTTGTAACGTGAACGAAGCTTTTTGTACAGGAAACACGTGTTTCGGTTGACGCTGATGGGTCACTGCCGCAAAAATTGTGAACGAACAGTGGACGCTGTGAATTTAGAGACATAACAGGATGAGTGTAAGAGTTTAAGCTTCTGCTTGTGAGTATTGGGATTATTTTCATTTCTGTCTGGTGTTTTATTTAACGTCGAAATTGATTCTGTTTGAAAGAAGTTAAACCCATAGAGTATTTGGAGCTGGTGTTCTTTTTAATTACTTCGAATGATAAAAGCCTCGCTTTTATGCACAAATTGAATGTGAGGGATCGATATTTGAGAAGAGTATTTTTTGGGAGAGTTTTGGAGTTTTCAAAGAATTTGGGAATTTGGAAATTGTAATATTTGGAAATTTATGAAATTGGAAGTTTGGGAATTGGAGGCTTAGAGAATTTAGAAATTTAAGAAATTAGAATTTTGAGGATTTGACGATTTAGAAGTTTGGGGATTCGAGAAGTTTGAATTTGAGGGATTTAGAAATTTACGAATTTAGGGAAATTTGGAGATCTTACAAATTTGAACTATTAGAAATTGAACAATTTGGAAATTTGAAAATTTGAGAATTGGGACATTTGAAGATTTCTGAATTTATGGAATTTAGGGATTTTAAAGTTTGAACAATTGGGAATTGGAGGATTTGGAAATATGAAAATTTGAGAATGTAGAAATTTAAAAATGTAGAAATATGGAAATATAAAAATTTGTAAATCTATAAAGGTGTTTTGAAAACTAGCATATCAATATTTGAAAATTTGGAAACTTGAACCCTCGTAAATTTAAAAAATTGAAAATCTGAAGGTTCAAAAGCGACACCCTGCCCAGACTCTACGGGTTAAATTAACCTCAAACTTGAGTCGAAAGCGAGTCAATCAAAAAATTCGATTATTTTCAGCCAACGAGGCCATTTAATTCCTTAATTTTTCAAAAAATATTATTTTCCGAATAAATAAATAGTTTATTTTGAAGTTAACCCTTATCTGGATATTTCATTCGTATTACGTAGATGAAACAAAATATATATTTTAAATAGTGCATTATACTTTTTCTTATATTAAGGATTAAATAAATTATATACACTAGTTATATTAGTCAATTCGACTCACCTTGACCGGATAAGGATTAATTTATCGATAAATTGCAAAAGAGAAGTATTGAGGTTAGTAATGAGTTTGAGGATGATTGTGTGATATCTTTTTCTTAATTTTCAATCATAAATTTAAATGCTGTTTAATAGTTCTTCGCTATAAACATTTCTCTGAGTCCCACATTAAGATGGTGTTAACCCTTAAATCCTGTGTATATTAAAATGTAAATACATCTCACTTTTGTTGTTCCAAAAATACCTTATTTTCATCCCATAAATATAGAAAATAAATGAACACATTTATATGAATTATATTTTAACATTGATTTATGTTATTTAACTTAACATTTTAATAAAATTATTTTTTCGTTTGTACCTTATTTAACACTTCATCTTGTACATGATTAGACTTATGTACATATGAATATTGTATACATGGAAGTTTATGAAAGAATGTTATGAATACCATGAAATAAGACGGGATTGAATTTATGATTGAAAATTAGAAAAATAATTAAATATTTTTATTTTATACAGAATATTAAATTGGCAACTAAATTCGCTATCTTCTTATATTTTCTTTCAGAATTGATCTTAGAAACATAAACAGCAAGTATGAACAAAATTATTCATTCAAATATTGCTTGCTTCAAAAGATTCATTTATAATATAATATTAAATAATTTCGTAGTGAAACGTATGAGAGTGCATTTAGTTGCCAGTTTAATACTTCAATTAAGTAAACTTTATATTCTGTAAATTGTACAGTGAATAATGTGATTCGATTTAATTATCAAGTTCTTGAATTTTTGAATACGTTTATTTGTATAATATTTGAAAGGGGTATGTAACAAGCAATATTTCTCGAGTGCTAAAGAGTTCACGATACAACGAAACGTAAGACAGTGACTTGAAATTGATGAACGATAGTGGTAATAATTTATATTGGTTAGATAATTGTTGTAATAGTTGGTACACGAGGCAATTGAAATTTCGTACTGTTAATTTTGTATTATGGAAGTTAACTTATTTGTAGCTTTCCTGATTATGTGTACACGGTACAGTACAAAGATCAATGAAATACATTGTTTCTTGTTAGAAGAATATTTCTCAAATTATCTTGAAACACATTTATCTTTATGGCTTTATTTTCGATGACGTTTGTATATTTTGATATTTATTTTGATGTCACGATGAACCTGATCCAGAATTATTTATATTTGCTGTTATAGATCATTACGACCGTTGATTTTCATTTATTCCATCATGTTTCTAATAAAGGTTAATGATATCAAAGTCAGTAATATTAAAAATTATTTACAGTGATTTATTTATATTTTTGTTCGTTAACCCTGGAGGACACGATCAATTGATACTGGGTCATTTTTGACTCTTATTTCAATTTCTCTGCGGAGAAGAGCTGTTACAGAAATTATTTTGCTTTATTTCATGTTGGCATACTTTATAAATATATTTGCTGATACAGTTTACGTATAATACATATCATCTACATGATCAGAAAAACATGTAACTCTATCATGTAAATAATTTATTCATATTTTTATATTAATTACATTAATTTTAGTAAAGTAAACTTCGTTTAAGCTACAGTTACAAAAAAAATATTTTTTTCTATCTAAAAATATGCTTAGATTCCTTATTGGTGTTGATTATTCGGTGGTTCGAAAATGACTCAGTATCCAATAGACAAATTTAACCAATCCTAGAAATTACTTTTCTAATTTCTTACACCATGAGAAAATGTTTCAATAATTATTTCACAGTGTAACAGGTATTGCAATAAAGTAAGATAACACTGACAGACTAATGGTTATTTAATCGAACTCAGTTAAATTCAGACATTAGATCACTAATCCAAAATACATGTGACATACTTCATGTACGTCACTTTCATGCATTTCAAATTTAACCCATCAATGATGACGTTCATGTTACGTGCTTCCATAACAGCAATCCAAATTTTCCCAATATCACCTCAATTTTCTATCAGTCAGAAACACACGTTCTTAACCAGGTAAGTCTCTTACATAATATACTAGATGCTCCTTGAATGTGTCATAAATCTGCAGACCCAGAAAATTGTGGCGAACCCAAATCTTTTGTGTGTTGTTTTTTTATTTCTATAGGACGAGTCAGAATGATTTTCATTGTCACATAAAATGGAAAAAAATAATCTCTGTCCAGAATAATTTTGTTTAAGAAATCTTGAAATTTCCTCAAGTCTCGAATTCTTTGAACTCAATCGAATGTGTGTATTAATATCCAATTTGATCGAATACATTAATTAATACATTAGTTAATTA